GGACAATAGAAATAGAGAAAGACAGTTTTTTTTTGCAAGGAGAGACAAATTTTGTTGGACGTGAAGTGTAGATTATTGGAATTAACATCATGCAGTTTTCGAACAAGAGTAGGAAATTAGCCAAACACAAATAAAATATTTTGGTGTAAATGATGTTGTAAATTACTCTCTCTGTCCCATAAAATTTGGTATACTGATTTATCTTTGTCAATGATGATCAATTTTGACCAATGATATCTTTTAATATGAAATTATTTAAAATATAAAAATTATATGGAAATTTTCTTTATTAAAGAAACTTTCATAAAAGTACACAAGTTATATTTTTTTACCCAAATATAATAATTAAAATCATTGTCAATTTGGTCAAATTTAATGGGACGGAGCCCGGAGGTAGTACTTAAATAAGTGTGACATATGTGTGCACATAATATATTTTTGTGTAAATAATATTACACTGTGAAGTTAGTTGGATTTATAGTTCACTTCACATGAATTTGTCAAACCTAGTAAATTAAACTAGTTTTGAGATGGAGATGAACTGAATTATGAATGTCATCTAGGCATGATTTCTTAGCAAAATTATGTGTTTTTAAAATATATATATATATATATATATATATATATATATAGAGAGAGAGAGAGAGAGAGAGAGAGAGAGGAAAGTTCATGTCAGGACCTCCAAAAACGGACCTCCGTACGGACCTCGGCGTTTGGGCCCCTTCCCGGTGGAATTTTTTGATGAAATTTTTTTAGCATGTTCTTCATCAAGTCTAGTTTACCCATACCAAATTTCAGCTAAACATTCCATCGGGAAGGAAGTCAAATGATTTTTTGAAGTTAACTGTGCACTTTATATACATATAAAATGTTGTTAACTTCCAAAAATTATTTGACTGCCTTCCCGATAGAATGTTTAGCTGAAATGTGGTATGAGTAAACTAGACTTGATGAAAAACATGGTAAAAAAATTTCATCAAAAAATTCCACCGGGAAGGGTCCCAAACGCCGAGGTCCGTACGGAGGTCCGTTTTTGGAGGTCCTGACATGAACTTTCCTCTCTCTCTCTCTCTCTCTATATATATATATATATATATATATATATAGATTTTGGTTCAGGTGAGAAATGCATCTAATGTGAGAAATGAGAATGAATCTCAGCCATTAGATTTATGAAGTTGCACAAAAATTGGCTTTAAGTTGCAGTAATATTTAAATTTTGCACATGTTGCACTAAAACTGTTTCATGTTGCACTAATATTTGACGGCGTTGCACCGAAATAGCTTCATGTTGCACTAGACACGTGTAATATGGATTTTTCAGAAGTATTTTCAGAAATGCCACCGTGCTAGATTGCATATTTCAGTACATCATGAAGTGTCTTTTACTACAACTTAGTCGAATTCAATGGCTGAGATTCATTCTCATTTCTCACCCAAAGAGTTCTTCTCACTTGAACCTTACCCTATATACATATATTTATATATATATGAACTCCTCACCATGTCACATTTCAATATACAACTCCAAACTTCTCTCTATTTTTACATTAATTTTTCTCTTCTTTCTAGGTGATAGAGTCATAAAAAGTGCTAAGTTAACCAAAGTATTTGTTCTTTATTTTTTATTTGTAGCTCAATAGAGCTACACTTCGCATTCATCTTCAAGTTCTACTTATTAGATAGTAGCCTCATATACTTAGACCTATTCTTGTAGTATTCATAGAGTATACTAGTTGTTCTTCTTTACATCCACAACTGATCATTCATATTCATTGATAGTGAAGAAATTGTTCATTCATACATTCCGTTTGCACAAATCCTTATTGTGACGATAGGTGAGAGCTATTGTCAAATTCTCAAATGGTTGAGAGTCGTTGATGAATTCATACATACTTGTAACGATTTGTTTGCCAAAGTTCTTTGTGGTGATTTTGCTCATGTTTGATGTGGTCGTAGGCGTAGCTGAATAAGTATAAATCGTGGCGTCATCTTTACTAAATATATTTCATTATACTGCTATTTATTTTTGTTGTGAGCCTATGATTGTTTAGTCCATATTTGGAAAGTCATGCTTGCACAGACACATTATGAACTCCCTACTTTGGCATATAATACTCAATCGAGCACAAAAGGGCGTCTGGATACTTTTCAACCTAGTGTAAAGATTAGAGCATCTCCAATGGGGATGTCTATTCTCTTACACACTCTTACAATTGGGTCCCATTTTTTATCTCACAAATTTTATGTGTAGGACCTACATATCTCCATATTTATTTTCATTTTCATTTTTTTATATCACTTCTAACCCACTTTTCATCCACTTTTGCTTCTCGATTCCCGTGTAATGTCTATTTGTAGACATTGTCATAGACATTGTCTACAATTTACTCCTATCTCTCTCTTCCTTTTCATTTTTCCATACACACCACTTTCTTCATATTAAATTAAAATAATCATTCTATCTCTATCTCTCTCCTATGCCACGTAGGATAGACTTTACTCCAATCCACTACCCCATTAGAGCATCTTCAATGTTAAAACGTGAACGGTGCATACGTGGCATGTGTGATAGTCAATTAAAAAATAATAAATAGAATATCTCTCTCCTTATTTGAAGGAACTTATATCATTTTGGTAAGTTTTTATTCACAATGTCAAGCACAATATCTAGATATAGACATTGTGGTTGACATTGTAGTGAAAAACTTTCCAAAAACACAAAAAACCGTGGAAAGAAGAAGAGAGAAATGTCATGAATTCAATTTTTTGTGTCTATCTCTCTCATGTCATATGTGCACCGTACACATTGTAGCATTGAAGATGCTCTTAGGCTGGGTTCATAGCCTTATTGATTTATTAAAGCTAAGAGTTAGTGCTTTGTTCAATTGCGCTAAATCTTTAAGAGAAATGATTACGGATTGCATCTAGTTCATACCCTTTCCCTAGGTCGCAACTCGTAAAAATGTACTCCCTCCGGTTCACATTAATCTTTACAATTTGACATCACATATATTAAGAAAATAAACTTGACTATATTGTAGAGTACACTGTTTGACACTGTTTGACACTGTTTTACACGGTTTGACACTGTTTTACACTGTTTGGTGTATATTTGTAAGGCAAATAAGGAAGTGTAAAGTTTAATATGGTACTTCCAGAAAAGGAAAGTGTAAAGATTAATGTGAACCGGAGGAAGTATATGTATAAGAGTTATTATGTGTTGTTTAGAGGTGGCGGAAATCCCACACTATATCCCTTTGAATCATGCGGATCTTAGGTTCAAAATAATCATATAACAATAGGTTTTGTGACGGAAAATGGTAAGGGTTATTGAAAACTATGTTGGCACTTTTGTGGAGGCCGGTAATCAAAATTGTAAAGGGTATATGGGAAGCATACACAAGGGTTTAGGTATGACAAGAAAATGCGCTTTAAGTTGACTAAGGGCTCATTAATAGGGGCATAGCTAGGGAGACCAACCGAGGCTCCGAGCGATCCTAAATTTCATGTTTATTTAAATTATTAGCATAAACTAAAAAAGTTTATTTAAATTTCATGTTTTTCTAAATTTTTAGCACAAACTAAAAAAGTTATGTAAAAAATCTAGAAGTATTATTTGCATCGGCCCACCCCAATATTCCGCCTTGCTTATGCCAATGCGGTCATAGTACATGTGGAAAACAAAGAATGGGAAACTCCCTGCTTCAGGTCAAAGGAAAGAGGAAAGGGCTATGGAAAATGGAAAATGGAAAAGAGAACAAGAATATTTGCATGGGCCTATGAAGTCAGTCTAAGGGAAGGGGGCTTCATGTCATCTTCTATTGTAAGCAAAGGTAGGGGTGTGATCAATGATGTGTTCGGATGTTTTTACTTGGACTAGTTTGAGTCACAGGCCAGACAAGATCAAATCATACCACATTACAGTAGACTTTGACAGTTGTAGAATACACGTAGAACATACATGTATCAAACCAAACTAGTTCAAATCAAACTAGACTTTAAACAAATCAGTTGAGAAAAGAAGGGAGATGGTTCTGTTACCAGCTCTTGTGTGAGTAGTCACGGGTGTGGGAGACATCAATAGAGGACTGAGGATAAAAGCGAAAAGAAAAGCAACCCAAACATATAAATGTATAACATTCTATGGAACTCCACACAATCGAAAAGATTTTCAAAAGGGGGCCATTTTTTTCAGGAATCATCCTTGGGAAAACACTTCTCTCTTTCCAAATGGCCCCTTTTGAGAATAGATTCATAAAGGCGAAAAAAACCTTAGACACCAAAGTGAAAAAAAGAAAAGAAAAGAAAAGCAAAGTCAGACAAAAAAGTACTCTAGAACGTACAAACCCATTCATCAAAGCTAAACACATTGATAAGCAACTAGACATTGCTTTTTGGAATAATGTATCCTCAACCAGAGACAGACAATAGAACTTTAGGAAAGAGCCTTCAAAGCTTGTGGGGTTATGTTTGAAATTAATAAGATATAATTTCATCATAAAGTAGTTTGACATATGTAACATATTTGGCTATGCTGAAATTGATTTACTGGAGCTAGCATTTTATTAAAATCATGGTTTGAATGATTAAGTTACCAAAAAACATTTAAAATATATTTTCAAAATATTACTTCACCACTTCTCAATTGCTTGATTAAGGATAAACTGAACTCTTCCTACATAATAATAGTTGAATAGTATTTCATAACTGTGGAGTAAATTCTACATATTTATAAACATCAATTTTTTTACCGAGTCTGAGAAACAGCTGAATTTGAATGAATATAGCAAAATTTAGTACATAAAATTAGATTAAAAAAAAGCACAGGGTTGACTACCTAATAATGAAAGATAAAAATAATTTGGAATAGGATATAGTATCTCAAATAGATAGAAATGTCACACCATTCAGCTTAGCTACTCCAAACAAAAATGCACTTCGTCAAAATAGCCTACATTCTGTGGAAAAGAATGGTTGCTAAAGCTTCCTCCGTGTATAAATTATAGTAAGCTTAAATAAATGATCATCAACGGGCACATAATTAGCGAAAAATGAAGAAGAAAAGACACAACACCGCACATAAGAGAATATACATATAATGATTCAGCAGCTTAAAACTTACAACATGTCAGCATGTTTTGGAGTGCAGAGACATCTGTAAGAACTTGTTAATAAAATGATACACTTTTGGTTACTACTACTACAACAAGAGACAACATACCCTAATATTATTCTTTTTACCCAGCATTAGCCAGTGTCCACTCCGCCTCCGTCACATTGCTATCATTCACATAAGCTCGCGGTCGCTTCGTCATTGCGGCTAGTGAACTCATGTCTGGTAATGAAGGGACCGAAAAGATTGCATGAGAATCAGTGCATACCTTTATTGACAGCTCTGATAGCTCTTCGCGAGCAGCTTCTAAGCCCTCTGAGCTAGTAACAGCTGCTTGGTTGTTGAGTGACTTGCAAGCTTTATCAAGTATTGATTGCAAATATTTGCTTTGAGCTTCTATACGAAGCTGGAGACGGCGCTGTACCTATATTAATAAGAGAACCAAGCATTTGAGATAATTTTGAAAATATTGGCTTTGTGATTTGACACCCTATAATATGTGGCTCATTTACTTGCCACTCCAGTTGTGCAGTCCAATTTGATTACAAAATTTGTGGATAATATATATAAACATGAGATAAATCTGACCACTTTGGACTGTTGGAGATATTTTCCCTGATTACCTCTTTAACATATGGTTACATTCACCTAGGAATTTGAGATAATGTTCGGTGATTACCTTTTACGATTATTAGGTGTTGAAATATAATTATGGTAATACTTAAGACTATTCTGTCTTTGCCCATAACAATTTAACAGCTAATCTTTTGCATCCCTGTTACCTCACATTAATTTTGAAGACCTAAGGTGCCAAGGTGGTAATAATTAGTGTTTTATATGTATGTCAAAGTTACCTATCTCATAGGTTAAGGTAAAATGATAGTTTTATTTTAAAGCTCTCATCGTTGTGGACTAGCAGTGAGGGTGAATGGGATTTTAAGTTTTTAATATTTCCCTTGATAAAGGATGGGCAAACACTCGAATGCTAGAAATTTTAACCAAAGCACTCATGCTAAAAATACTCACTAAAGCAATATTTTCAACTGGCCCAAATTGCATATAATTTGTTCGATCATGGCCCACTCAAGAACACATTAGAATATCACTTAAACACCCAAGCCGCTTATAGAAAAAAAAACAAGAACCATTTGGGAAGGCTTATTTGGCTGAATGCCTGAATATGCTAAGTTGTGTCAAAAGAAAAGTCCATAAAATTGATTTCAGCCAAGTAAGTTAGTGTTAGACACTATTATCCTACTTATTCTGCTTAGGCGTTAGTCTCATTATCCCACTGAGCAAATAAGCCAACTAAAGCTAGCAAACGGACCTAATTTTGCATGGTTAAAGAACCAAGCTAAAGGAAGGTGCCATTTGTGCCATACTAAGTGCCAGTATGGTAGACATCATATTTTCAACCAAAAAGCAGCTATGATTTCACCTCTCAATTTCATATATTATCCTTGCTACTTTATTTTTAAAAGATGTTTATTTATTTTTAGTTAATTTAGTGCAGTCAACAAACTCAGCAAATTCAACCATTTTATCACAAATTTGCCCCGGTAAAATCAGTCAACAGAGACACGAGGAGGGCAAAGACAAACCTCTAACTGTTCATGCAATTTTCGTTGAACCTCCATCTGTGCTCGCAAAGCCTCAGTAACCTGGTACCCACTGTTCCCCACATTTTATGATATCATTATTAATCCTATAATGCTAATTCAGAAAAAACTATGAACTTTTTTTTGTACCAATAAATTATAGTATAGAAGAATTTACTCGTTTAGTTCTTGGGAAATCATTCTAGACGAGCCTGATGTAGGAGAACTGGTTTCACGACTCTCGGCTGCACATATTGCTGCAATAGAAACAGAAATAATAAGAAAGAAAATCAATGTAAATGAAATGGAACTGACATGTTCCTTTCAGGTCGCACCGTCGCACACGACAATTACATCATCTAGCTTTTTACCCCTGACTTCCATTTTTTCCACTTTTGGAGCACGACTATAGGTTTGCCACTTTTGGTCCTTTCAGGTCACTTATCCAGCAAAAATCAACCTCATTGGACGAATAAGTCATGATTAGGACAAAAAGTGGCAGGAAATTCATAATCATGCACCGAAAGTGAATAAATGAAAGTCACAGATAAAAAGTGGTTTTTTTTTTCAAATGTCAATACCATCTTTAGAGTTGTCAGTTGCCTCCTTCAATGATTGCTTCCCGAGACGGTATTTCTGGAAAGAAAATGAAGGGTTAGATTTGCGGGGGAGATGTACATTGAGACTCTTGGTGGAACAAAACACTTAACAATGCCCGTAGGCCAAGAGGACTGGAAAAGCAAGACAAACCTGAAGGTGTGACTTCAAATGATATAGGGTCAGACCTTTTACCCCCATTGTCCTCATTATTGACTTCGGTGTTGCTTCTGCAAAGTCAAGTGACAAAGAACATAGGTACTAGTTGATTAGCCTATAAATTTGAAGGGGAAAATGGTATGCAAAAGAACAAAACAGATGTGAGATGACTTAATATTGTTAACTTAATTTTAGTAGGTTTGTCTACAATTCTATCATATTCATGAAGACAGAATTCTGGCTTTTATTATAGCAACTGATAAATGAACTAAATCAACATTTTGAGCATAGTTTATACACTTCAATAATTGACAATCCTGGATTTCTGGAAGTGCAGTTTGAAACATATAACACTATTATCCGTAAATAATCAACGTTTGTAACATCAAAGAACTTAAATGCGACTAGTGAAGATCCCAAGTTTGTCAACACCCAAAAACTTTGGATAGGAAATGACGAGAGACAAACAATTGAACGTACACTTAGCAAAAGCACATATTAACAGGTCTACTATAATCTTTAAATTTCATTAAGAACTAAATTTCGCAAAAGGTAATAAAAGGGGAAGTTATGCATTCAAAAATAAGCAGGAAAAAGGCCCTACCTTGGTATAAGTACAATGTAGATTTAACGGTCCACACACACCCAATGCTACTGCTGTTGGTATACAAATTTCAACCCTAATGAATACTATCTTGCATTCTTGCTAAAAATGCTAAGATTCTGATATTCTATTTAAATAGTAATATATAAGCAAAGATCTTCTAGATTTTTCATCACTGAAACAGTGCTAAAATAGTTTGCCTGGCGGTGGCCATTCTTGCACTTAGACAAAAACAACAACAGAGAGTTGATCCCAAATCATGAAATATATTCCATCTTAGGTTTCCACCATTTTCTCCTAAATTCAATTACAATTATCTTTACTAAAATAATACTTTGAACACCCAAACATGAATATAGAATTTCAGATTATATTCAACTGGGATGAAGAAATACTAAAGGGGGGAAAGGAAAACAGTACCCAAAGATTCAAACTTTCTATGCCCTTCATAACAGCTGAACAGCATAAAATTAAGTAAATCTTAATCTCCAGCCATTAAGACAAAAGGTCATCATATCCCTTCATGGCAATTTTTTTAGTGAAAATGAATTGTTGTACCAAAAAGACTATGCAATTAACTTAAAAAATTGAACTTTCGGTGGAAATAAATGCATTGACATCTCTAATATTGGGGTTTTTTATTATATAGTGTTCTTCATTTCCTTGTAAAATCTCAGACATTGAAAGCTTAAATAATTGACTGGACACACATCCCTATCAACTCACCCTCCAATAATGACAATAATAATTAATGCGGAGTACTTCATACTCCCTATTTGCCCTTGAGATCGAAAAAGACCCTGCATTTATTACGATTCAAAGGTTGTCTTTGCCTAATCATATGAAACATAACACTCCGTACAAATCTTTAATTTTCATTTCAAACTTAGAAAGACTTTCAGACAGAAAATCTGTAGCTAGAGAAGAACCAAGAAAGCAAAAGAATTTAACAGTTGCAGAACCCAAGATTCCAGCTTTCCAACAAAAATGAAATCTTTTTGGAGAATCAACCTACAATGCAGAAATCAAAGAAAGGGTATACTCACTTTCGGGTCCGCCGAGCTGGGTGACGGCGTCGACGAAGCGCTCGTGGAGCTCGGCAGTCCAACGGAGGCGAGGCTTGGGGTCGGCGGTGAGAACCAGACAGGCATCTCCGGGAAGGTTGGTTCCGTCCAAGGACATAGCTCCCGGGTGGCTGTGATGGTGGTGGTGGTGGTGGAGGTTATAGTCGCCGCCGTCGAGACCCAGACCCCGCATAGAGTACATTTTTCACCGAAAATAGCCGGGTTGGGTAACGTGAAACTGGAAAGGGAGGATTGAGAGCTGCCTGTTGAAGGTTGTGTGTCTTTTTGGGTTATATGAGGAGCAGCAGAGTAGGAAGAGAAGACAAGACAGCGATGTGTTGTGTTGTCTAGTGTGTGGGAGAGGAAGACTTGTCTTCTTCTCCTCTTTTTTCTTCCTTCTCTCTTTTCTCTATCACAGACTCGTTTAGTCTCTTTGCTTTCTAATTCTAATCATTTTCGGCTTATATTGTCAACAAGATTTTACTTTTTGGATGAATTTTTCAATTTAACAGTGTTTATTGTTTTTTCAAGACGAATTCAGGAAGAGAGAAAAAAGTACTTTGACGGGATACAGAACATAAGCTTGCAAAATCAAATGGAAATCATCCTCGAGGACCGAATTCATAACCAATCGGTGGTGTGATTAGGAGTAAAAATAATCTTAACAACAGAGAGATTAGAAGCTGGTACGGTTCGATACAGTCGATGATAGTATGGGTAAAGCAATATGCATTGGGTGAATGGGCGGTGCCGTTGCAAAGCAAACGTAAGCATGGCCGTATTGCAACATCGATGTTTTCGCTCGAGTTAATCCTATCCTCGGTACCTTAATAGTGTCATTTGATATAACAATGTTTTTATTTCCTCTCATATTTTCTTTTGGATTGAAGTTTGCTGAGCTGATCTGGTCTGAATTGGTGTGAAATGATTTGGTCTGATAAATGTATGATCTTATTTTATAACTGTGGAAGTCTGATCTGGTCTAATCCTATCTGGTCTGGTCTAGGATTGAAAACAATCTAAAAGAAAACATCCTTAATACGGAGTATGTTTAAGACTAACATGTCTCATGTCTGGCTTGATAAATGCTTAGTTTCAGGGGCGGAGCCAAGGGGGGGTCAAGGGGGTCAGTCGACCCCTCTGAAAGTTTGAGAGCATAGAGCTCTGAAATATATTTGATTTGATATATTATGACCCCCGTAACTCATTACGAGTAAAAAGTTATGACTTCTGCAAAATCAGCACTATCTAAACGTAAAATCAGCAAAATTTGATGAGTAATATTGATTTTTTCCCCCCAAATTTTAAAAATAGCGTATAATTAACTCAATACTTAAGTGACATGACTCAAAAATAGAGCAAAAACAGTCTCTTTTATTGTTACGAGTGCCTATTTATCTAAATTACATAAATATTCAACTCGGACATTGTTTGGAGACGATCCTTCGTTTTCATTTTGTATAAAGTTGATTCTCGACCCCCCTGTACCGTATTTCTGGCTCCGCCACTGCTTAGTTTGTGTGTATTTATAATAGTCGAAGTCTTGACTAGTCTGATTTGTTTAAGTATGATTTGTATTTAAGTGTTGAAATTATTTGAATGAATTGTGAACACAAAATGTTAAGAGAGTGTTTGAAAAATGTCTTCTCAACAAAAATAATGATGTTTGACCCTTTTAGCGTTCTTAATAAGTGAAAACATCGTTTAGTTAATAGTTGTTCGACCCTAGCGTTGTTGGACAAAAACGCTACAAATATCAGTGTTTTGTGTTAGTTTTTTGAAATATGGCATTTCCTACTAATTGTTATTTCCAAACAGCTAAATTACCAAACATCTTCTGCCAACCCACCAACTTTTCTTGCTAGCCAAACCTACTAACTGAATCCGATGTTGACAATCCGCTAACATAATTCGCTATCTGTTAACCGCTATATGCCAAACACGCCCTATATATGTTTAAAAAAAATTATGTTCAAAAACTAAGTTAGTTATCTTCAACAAAACCATGTAGAAGAATAGTTTTGGTCTTACTTATTCTAAAACAAATTGCACTAAATAGGAGTAAAAATATTTGGGATTACAAAACATGGACAACGCCGAGCTATTGGTACTTTGGGGGGCCTCCGTTGGATAAGTTGGACGACTCAGGGATTACAAAATATTTGGGATTACAAAACATAAATGATGGAGTATATGGCCCGGGGACCCCCGGCCCACAAACTCCTACTTCTCCTACACAGACCCCTCAAAGCTTAATGAACATACAAAGTCCAAACATAGCGCCCCAAGTGTCAAGAAGCCCACGGTGAACATACGGGTGCCTTCGGCCTCCTTGGCCGAGGGCTCCAAACTCTATAAAACTACTTATTTTAAGCATTCAAAGCTACTGGATGAAAACGGCAGAAAATAGTAGCCTTCGGCTTCTAGGCGTCCCCAACATGAGGGTAGCCTTTGGCTACATAGGGCCTTCGGCCACAGGGGAGCCTTCGGCTTCGGCCGTTAGATTATTGACATGTGTACTCTCATCACATTTATGGCTGATATAATTAGCAGCCCTTATTCTCCTTGTAAACCACGCTGAGTTCATTTAATACATTTGACTCTCTCTCTCTCTCTTACTCGTTTGTTCTGGCTTCTCTCTAAGTTATTCCTCGAATAACCCCTCGGATAACCCCTCGGATAAGTTATTCCCGGGTAGACTGTCTATCAATAAACTTACCAAACTTAGCGCCCGTGGAGCTCGGCACTAAACCATGTAGATTACAAAATAGTGCATGTCATTCCTAAGGGCCCCCAAAGTTCTCAATGGTGGATTGTTGTAATCTACATTACCTATGTATTTATGGATGTAGCTTCTCGTAAATTTCCAAATGCTAAATTTACTACAAAATATCACACTATCATTAATGTATACTCCGTACTACATTTATGTATTTGGTTTTGCCCTTTTTATCCCGGTCTCATTGAATTAATCATGTGATCCTAATAATCACTCAAACCCCTGAGAGTAAATTTGAATTACTCGAATTTGGTGAGGGACTAAATTCCACAATTTGGTCATATATTTAATTAGCTACTAGGCATATTATTGAGACATATTATTGAGAGACTGTATATTAATAAAGTCATAATAATAATAATTTCATAAAATGAGTTTGTAACTTTATTAATTAATGAGCAATATTGATAAAGAAATCATAATTTATGATTGTCCTAGGCTAGGCATGTCTCCAACACTTAATTAAATATGAGTTCCTTAAAAGAAAGTACACCTTATTGGTACGTATAGTACTTTTAATCATTTTGAGTTTTTTGTGATGTTATATTTGTCTCTAATGATAATTCTTTAGACGCCTAGGGCTACCTTGTGCAATGGTCTAGTCTATAGACATCATTAGAACTTAAGACTTGACAGGGTAATTTAAATTTATGAGGTAAGTGTCAGATTAGTACTCAAAGTTGCATAAAAGGGGTCAAATAAGTTCTTATATAGGAGGCTCAGTCCGGCCATCGCCATTTGAGGCGGTTCCCAGTGGAATTTTTTGACGGAATGTTTTGAGCATCTTACTCATTAAGTCTAGTTTACTCATACCAAATTTCAGCTAAAAATTCAACCGGGAAGACATTCAAATGAATTCTTGAAGATAACTGCGCAGTTATCTTCAAGAATTCATTTGAATGCCTTTCTGATTGAAGTTTTAGCTGAAATTTGATATGAGTAAACTAGACTTAATGAATAAGATGTTCAAAAACATTCGTCAAACAATTCCACCAATAACCGCCTCAAATGGCGACGGCCGGACAAGTAGGGACTTATTTAGTTATTTGACTCTTTTCATACAAATTCAAGTACCAATTTGACCCTTACCTCTTAAATTTAGTGTCAAGGGCATATCCAAGATGATACATAAGACTTGACATATACCAAAAGTATTTTTAGAGAACTCTCACACAAATTTTATTATTTAATAATTTAAAAGAAAATGAAATTTGGGGTGGATGACCGGGTTGGGGAATAGCACCCCTAGTATGGGGCATACGCCCCCCAAGTAGTAAAATGTTTAGGGTTCAGTGTTGAAATTGAAGTGTTCGAACCTTCATACTATATCTAAATATAAGGACGAGTGTAATACAAAAAGATCGATATAACGTCTTCTTCCTTGCATATTTTCACTACACCTTCATATGTTCATATACTCACAAAAAGCTTGGTGATGGGGTTTTGGGCTGACACATTTTCAAGAATATACCTTGATATTTCGTAGGATCCGATCTACTTTAGTTGGGAATGCTTGAACATAATGTAGTTTAAAACGGTCTACTTTTTTCATGTGCGGTCTATGTGATTGCGTGAACTTTATTATTTTGAATAAGAGAGATTTCTTATGAGAATAACGTGAACCTTATTTAAATGAGAACTTTCAATCTTCAACAATTATTTTTATAGTCAATGACAAATATTAACAAAATGACATTTTTTTTAATTATTTAGGATTACTCGCAAAAGAGCCTTGTTTGCATTTTGAATAATTATGAATATGATGTCAGATTCTTGCAATAAATAAGAAGTTTAAATTTTGTTTGGCAAAACATAACTTAATTAATATTAAAACCGAGAACCAAATACAAATATGCCATATCAAAGGTTGCACTGAGATGAGACTTAGAGCTAGAGTCACGCTTAACAGTGACCCAACTTGCTAACCTCACAATTTGGTAGTCTCCATCAACAGCACCGCTGCACTTGCTACTAGACTGATAAATAATAGAAGCAAAAAAGTTTTGAGAAATAAAACAAAAATAAAAGTAACTAATTCCAGTTTTTTCCGCCACTGGAAAGGGAATCACGATATGACCAGCCACCGCCAAAGGTACTGTGAGGAGCTCCTCTCCTCCACTTCCATCTAGTGCATCACAAAGATTCTCTTTCACTAGCTCGGATGGTGCACTCAAGTCAGCACCACCACTTGCAATTTCTTTGGATCCAGTTCAACAACTTCCATGCTTGCTTGAGCGTATGTGTCACTAGCCACTTTAATTATCATGTGTTTCCATGGTTCTTCCTCTTGTATAACCACTTTCTTAATCTTTAAGCTTAAGCCTTCTACCATAAAATTGTCCAGGGCTGCCACCTTTATACTCAAATTACCCAAATTGTCCACATGCTCCCTCCTCTTACTGGGTTTCTTTCCGTTAGGGATTAACCACCTATTTCTCAGGTGCATACCACCTCGTTGTGTATTTGCACATAGCCAAGATCCATAAGGTTTCTCTCCCACCCAGGGACCAACATGAGACTTAAATGGACAAATACAATCAACATGGCTAAGAATGCCACACAAAAAACAGAATTTTTGAAGCCTCTCGTATATAAAATCGGCCTATATCCAATTGTCTCCTTCTTGTCGGATCTGCAATCTCCGGATCAAAGCCACATTGATATTAATTGTGACCCTTATTCGCAAGACTAGCCCCCCCCCCCCCTGAGAGAGAGTGCTCATCTAATCAGACAAAGCTCTATATGTTGTTACCACTGCCACAAGCTGCTTTAGCCGTCATGTACCCTAAAGGTAAATTGTGAACCTGCACCCAAAAGTCTACACGATCCAATGACACTTGAAGAGGCCTATCAGTATGCCCTAGTCTTTTTACCACTACTAATTTATGTTCAAAAGACCAAGGTCCCTCCTCAACAACTCAACTAATATTGCCCTCATGATAGAATTGGAGAAGAAACTTGGAAGCACCAATCTCTTCAATGGTCACTCCCCGAATTGGTCTCCAGGATATTGCCCTCATGATAGAATTGGAGAAGAAACTTGGAAGCACCAATCTCTTCAATGGTCACTCCCCGAATTGGTCTCCAGGCCATGGCCATGGTTTAACGAAAAGCAATTGGGCGAACAGGTTT